TGTTCACCTCCCTACCCTCTGGCCGGAGGTTCAGAAGTGTGAAATGCAGGACCACTAGAGTGAAAAACTCTTTCTTTCCCTCTGCCATCAGACTCCTAAACAGCTGAGGAGTTTATTACCAGGAAATACGTGATGTACTGTTTACATTCTCAGTTTGCACATGCATAATTGCACAATGACTGTTGACTGCTGCACATGCTGCTCCCATGCAGCATACATTCTGTTATATTCTTATATATTTTTTATTATATTGCTGCATTTGTTGCTGCTTAAAGTGCCTTAGATTTTGTGTTACTTATTTATCTACTTTATATTTCATTTGTATTTTGTGGCATTCATTTTGGACAGCAAAGTAAGAATTTCATTGTACAGGGAAACACGTTTCCTAACTGTGCATGTGACAAATAAACACTTTGAACTTGAACTTGTATGTGGCAGGGAATCCAGGCAGTCACAAACTACGGGAACAAATTGACAAACAAGCCCCCCAGGACCACCCTCCTGGACAGCCTCAACAACTTCTATGCAAGGTTTGACAGGATGAACACAGATACCCCCTCAAAATTCCAGATCAAAAGATCAGTGGATGACACAACAGCTCTGGCTTTATTCCATACCCTGAAACACCTGGACAACAGCAGTATGTATGCTAGGATGCTCTTCCTGGATTACAGTTCTGCATTCAACACCATTCACCCAGGCAGGCTGATTGGGAAGATGACAGACCTCAGTGTACCAACTCCCACCTGTAACTGGATTCTGGACTTCCTGACTGAAAGACACAAAAACTGCACCTACAGCGTCAGGCACAGCAGGGTAGACAGTATCATCACACACAGAATAAGACTTTACAACAGCTTTTTCCCTGCTGCAGTAAGACTGATGGCTAATACGAAAATGTGAGAAATGGGAAAATATATGTATGTGCAATAACCCCTTACAAGACATGTGCAATAACCCCTCACTACCACACCAAGTGTAATGCCATATCAAACTCCACCATGTGAATTACTAAGCATGATGTTTGTAGACTTGTTTTCGTCAACAAAAATTATGACTAAATGTCGTCATCAATGAACCTTTATCATGTGACGAAAACGAGATGAGACGCAACGTAAATGCTGGTCATGTGACAACTATATTTACATGTATAATGCAATATTGTTGATGAAAAAACTATGTTAAAATGTCTCATTTTCGTTGACCTAAACGAAATGAAATGTTATGTTATTTTGTCTCGTTTAGTCATGTTATTATTATTATTTTGCAGTATTTCTGTTTCCTGTGTCTCACTTCAGGGGCTGCATCAGGTCACATTGCGTAGACGCAGGTGACATCACTTCCTTAAGCCCTACTCGTGGCATTATTTACAAGACGACAACAAACAAAGTTAAGTCTGACACAGACAAAGGGACCGATGGCCTGCCAGCCGGGGTTCATCTTTGGGAGAAAAGGAGGAAACGACATTTGGGAAAATATTTCTGGCATTGTCATGTAATGCTATTTTATTTGTTTTATTTTATTTATTTTATTTAAATTTATGTGTGTGTACTTCTAACATATTTGGTTGGTAAAATAAATGTACATTCAAATCAGAGCGTCTTCCGTGTCTGGAATCCAGACTCTGGATGTATCCTTGAGTTTATAAGGTAACAATAAAATAATAAGATAACCTTGTTTGAAATGGGTTTGGCTAAAAGAAAATTTTGGTTTTGCCTGTACTGCTAGGTACTTGTACTATATTGACTGGGTTAAATAGAATTGCATTACCAGAAAGAGAAACTAAATGTCATCAGTTTTTGGCGACTAAAACTAGATGAAAATAATCATGGATAATTTTGACTAAAATAGCACTAAAATGCTCAGACTTTTAGTTTACTGAAACTTGACTAGACTAAAAAGAGTATGAATGTGACTAAAACTAATAAAAACTAAAATGACAGCTTCACACAAACACTAGACTAAAATTAAAACAGGCCACCAAAAACAACTGTAGATGTTTGAAGTTCATGGTGGAAAATATTATTAACCTATTTTTGTGTATTGTGTTTTAATACTTTGTCGCCCATATTTAACTTTTCTATTGTAAGACTAAATGTTCTTTCTGGCTTTTGACTCCTTACCTGATTCCAAAAGGAGAGCTGCACAAGAATTCCTATATGCCTAGGCTTTCTGTTTATGCATAAATGGCAAATAAAAATCTTGAATCTAAAGTGGGTAATAATTAGCTAGTGGCTAATGTTGGAAGACACTGGATATTTGTGTAACTGACATTAAAAATTCAGTGGCTCTGATGTCATCAATCTCAACAAGAAAACACCAAGCTCATCCCAGCATGACAGAATGCTTATTGAACAGTTATAGCAAGAACAGCATGTGTCAGCATATATTCAGGTGAATGCTGTGGGGGCAGGTATGGCAGCAAAAGACTGAGCAGAACATTGACATTTTCTCTAGTGAGTGTTTGAAAAATTAAATTTGATTTTTAAATTTTAACTTTATTGTTCATGAGGTGCACACAAATTGTTACAGTGGGGTCCCTCATCAGGGGGTGAGAGACAATGACTCAAAGTGCAACCTCAGGTGCTAGTAAATAAGTGTCTTTATTGCAATATACATAGATGATAAGTAGACAAAGTCAATGGGTTAGGCGTGGTCCAAACCAGTGCTGAGCAGTGGAGGCTGAGAAGACCAGGATGGGCAGGTGAGCAGGAAGACGAGCGGTAGGAACCAGGAGGATCAGGTGAGTAGACAGGCGAGCAATAGGAACCAGGAGGATCAGTGGACCAGGATGACAGGTGAGTAGACAGGCGAGCAGCAGGAACCAGGATGACAGGTGAGTAGACAGGCAAGCAGCAGGAACCAGGAGGAGTAGTGAACGCCGTCAGGGGAGCAGAGTAGCGAATGCCATCAGGGTAGCAGAGTAGCGAATGCCGTCATTAACTGTTTGAAGACCACGATATGCTAACCCCTGGACATAGGAATAAAACTTAACCTCTCACACTAAGGTGGCATATTTGAAACATATTGAAGCTCCAAACACTGCTTGAGGTTGTATGACGGGGATATTCCCTCAGTAATTGACTACCATGAACCCCCTGAAACTTCCTCTTTCTCCTCTGCCTTCTCTGTATCTCTGTGCTTTTTGAGGCCCGTTACAGCCTTGCTGACAACTCCGTATCAATGTCAGCGTTAACCATAACAACAACCTCACCGTGTCGGTATCAAATGATCTGGCGAGGTTGGACCATCTGCCAGTGCGTTAAATAGGCAAAGCTTAAGGCAACAGTGGTGCAGTCGTCTCCCAACCAGCAAGTTGAAGGTTCAAATCTCGGTGCCAGCAATCCACATGTCAAAGTGTCCTTGGGCAAGACACTGAACACCCCCGTTGCCCCTGATGGTTAGAGCCATCAGTTGAGTTGGCGCCACAGATGGCTGCCATCGGTTCTGTACCGGAAACAAATTCCTTGTGTGTAACATACTTGGCCAATAAAGGTGATTATCCGTATCCTTAATCAGTGGGAACTAGCCTCAGCTATGCACCACACTCAGTGAGCTGCTGATTTAAGTGATGCGTGGTGCCTCAGCTGTGTTGCCTAGCCTGCATGACAAGAGGACAGAGAGAGAAAGGGGAAGAGAGGCAGGTTGCGCCGAGAGGACCTGACACAAATAATAAATTTCCATTTACTTTTTTTTCCTTTAAATTGGCAGCCCTGGACTTCCACAGGCTCACATATAGGTTACGTATGTTGTGACTCTATTCTATATTACACTTTAATTTTTTTTGTTTAATCTTCTCTTTATTTTGGAGTTTCCTGTTGTTGTTTTTGCATTTTGCTGTTAGACCATCAATATATGTAACTGTTTTATACTGACAAGAAATATACAGTAGTAGCTTAACTGTCATTATAAATGCACAAAAAATAATCCTTTTTTATGATCCTTAACAGAACACAAGGGTTAAAATAAATTTGTGAGGAGCTCTTGGAGTACAGTCAGGTTCAACTGTGTGTAGCTTCTTTAATTCCAAAACTAGACTCTTTTATATACATATTTTGTCACTTTACCTGTCAACAGTTTCTTAGAATTAGTTGGATTGGCAAGTAAGAATAAGCAAGTAAGTGAGCTGGACAGTATATTGACAACAGTAACTCCAAAGTAAGATCTAGAAGTGCATATCCATATTTCCATCCCGAGTACCATATGTAAAACCACATAAAATTCTTTCAGTTATGCACAAACAGAAATCCGCCCTAGCTGATTGTTTGTTTCTCATACAGGGTCAGACATTCAGCAGTGTTCCTTGGCAGAACAAGATGAGTTCTTCCTACACACACGAAGTCAAGAACAAACATACACTCAGAAACAGAGCTACCCAAACACTCCAGCGTGTCTGCTCTGAGGTTGTGGTCTAGCCTTCACTCCCCCTCACCTCTCTAAAGATAATGAAATTGCTCCCACATAGTCGCTAGAGAGATACCTCAATTGTAAACTACAAAAACAAAAAAACATGCTGTGTAACGCTGAATAATAAGAAAATGTGACAACAGACCTGAAAACGCATCGTTTCATAAAGGACAAAGAACATTTGTCAGCCTGTGCTTTTGCATTCTGAGTCACCTCGAAATGCATGGAATTTGAACAGAGAAAGCAAAAAAAAAAAAAAGTCAACTTTTTTGAGGTATGACTCATCTGCTCTAATAGACAGTTACCTTGTTGAATTGTATTATCCTGCTGCTTTAAGCTGAAATAAAAACCAATTTACAGAGTGACATAAAACATAAAACCACTTTTTAATATGGCTATTAAATGGTGATGAAGGTGAATGTATGTTTTACTGTCGTTTTTTTATGTGCCATTAATGTGTGGTGTCATGATGGATTTCGAGAGAGATGCCATATATTAATTAGCCAGCCCTACATCCTAGACTGTATACAGTTCAGCACTTTGATTTCATCTCTCTGATTTCAACTCTTCTGTATTGTATTTTTCTCTTTCAGGGATCCAAATCAGCCAGTTCCACAGGATACAAAGTTCATCCATACAAAGCCCAACAGGTTTGAGGAGGTAGCCTGGACCAAGTACAACCCCAAAGACCAGCTATACCTTCACATTGGCCTCAAACCTCGGGTTCGAGACCACTATCGGGCTACCAAGGTTGCGTTCTGGTTAGAACTAGTTCCGCATCTCCATAACATAAATGAATTTTTTCAGTACGTATCCACCACAACAAAGATACCCCCGCAAGACACTACCCCCTACCCTTACACAAAACGGTTCCCTGGCAAAAACAATTGGCCATCCACCACCCGCCATCCAGGGGTTTCCTCAGCCAACACCAAACAAACCACTGACCAACGCAAGAGTGGCGACCTGACTGAGGAGTCCACTGTGGTGATCGAGACCAAGAGGGATTACTCCACCGAACTCAGCGTCACTATAGCAGTTGGAGCCTCCCTACTTTTTCTGAACATCCTTGCTTTCGCCGCACTCTATTACAAGAAAGACAAACGCCGGCATGAGTCCAACCGGCGTGTTCCCACCCCACAGCGCAATTCTGCTCCAGCCAATGCGCCATCCGCCACCAACGACATGGCCCACCTGCAGAGCGAGGAGCTGATGTCACTGCAGATGAAGCAGCAGCAACTGGAGCATGAGAAATGAATGCGAGTCACTGCAGGCCCACGCCGCTCTGCGTCTCTCTTGCCCGCCTGACTACACGCTCACCTTGCGTCGGTCACCTGACGACATACCACTGATGACGCCCAGCACCATCACTATGATTCCCAACTCACTGGCTGGCATGCAGCCTCTGCACAACTTCAATACTTTCAGTGGCAGCCAGAACAGTACCAACTTACCCCACGGCCACTCCACTACACGGGTATAGCTCTGCGTGGACAGGAATGGCACTGAGCTACCTTTGGATAAGCCACTAACCACATAAAGCAAGCATGAATGACTGACTGTGGGAAGCACAGACTCCAAAGTCTCAGCAGATGTTATTTTGCTACCATGCCTTCTTGAAAATATATAAAGTATAAATTGATCATGAACTCATGAAAATGTTGAATGTTACTGTACTAGTAACTCTATTTGGAACCAAGTTTCATGGAAGGAGTTTTACCAAAAGAAATGGCAACCAGGGGATGTTAATATTCTTACATTACAAGATGAACAGTTTCTATGTGACAAAGGGACGCTTTGCAGAGGCTTCTGTGCCATAAATACACAATAGGAAGAAAGAGAACAATTGTTGAAATTCATGACTTCATGCATCAGACGCCTGAATCGGGCACAAAATTCTACACCCCAGCCTGAAATGTATTTATGAAAAACAAAAAAAGAAAGAAAAATGGTATATAGTTGTGGATGGAAATTTAAAAAAGAAAACATATATTAAAAGAGCTCCTTTTATTTATTTTATTTTGGCTGAGATCTTTTTTTCAGCTTGTTTTCTGTTCAGGTGTGTGTAAGCATATATGAAAGTTCTTAATTCTTTTTCTGATTTGCTTTATTTGATTTTTTTTCACGGAACAACCAAAATGCGAACACAATCCCATCCTTGGAGAGTTGCACATTGTGCGTCTTGTAGGTCATCACATAACTGTACTGTCTTGTATGTTGCTTTGCCTCCACTCTTTAGATGCCACACGTACAGTAAGAGTGAGAATACAGTAAGGACTGACTGGATCTCATCACCTGCCCATCATCCTGTTATTCTTCCAGTTGTTTTCTTTGTGGACTTTTTCTGTCTTGCAATCTCAGCACTGCCTGAGCTTACAATGTGACCAGCAATGTATTACTTAGAAATTTAAAAAAAGGCAGTTAATTTTTTTTTTGTATCAATATTAGTTGGTTTGTAAAGACATATGTTAGATATTTCAAATTGTCATATGCTAGCAATATGTAAAGTATTGTGCCAGGCTTGTAATATTTTGGGTTATCAAAGCAAGTGAATGAGTGTAAATATTAATTATTATGCAGTTAAAGCAAAATTAACCATTAATATTTTGTTTTGCATTACAAAAAATATAAGTATATCCAGTAGTTTGTCTTAATTTTTTTGCAGTTTCTGCCTTAAGTGATAATAGAGATATTTCCGGCTGGATACCTGTATAAATTTTTTCTGCAACATTTTTAATAAACTATCACAGTATTTTCTAAAAATAAATAAAGAAAAAAATGGAAAAAATACACATGGGAAGGTTACTGCATTTGATTGTTTGTTGTTTGTGCAGTTTGGGAAGTCTGTAAATTCTCAAATTGTGGCCTTTATTTAACTAACGGCATTGAGAACCAGCATTTTGAATCAGGCATTTATAAGGTTGCTCAGTCTTATAATGTTTTGGTCTCCCTGTTTTCTGATTTCCTATTAGTTACATTGCTGCTTTGTTTACCTTTTTAATAGAAATACTGTTTATCTTAAATTATTTCCAGTGTCTTCTATTTTATCAGTTTTTTATAATAATTAAGCTGCTGTCCATAAAATTCATTTTTTGTGCACAGATGTTACATACGAAATGCCTACCAGCCAGGAGTGGATATAGAAAATTTAGAACAGGTTGGCCAGGTTTACACATGTAAAAAGTGAATTAAACCCCTAGTTCTATGAAATAATAAACCATGTTTTGTGTAAAATTTATTTTAGACAATACAAAAAACAGTTTATGTAAAAATAAGACACACATACTGCTGTGCTCCTTACTTGGTCCTCCTGCATACATGATGTAAAATAAAACTATCCATCCATTATCAGTACTGCTATAGGGAAAACAGAAAAGCATCGGGTCAGCTGGGGCTTGAAGCCATAATCTTTTTCCTGTGAGGTGACACTGTTAACCAATCTTCCACCAATTACAAAATAAAACTAGCTTGACCATTATCAATTATAAAACACCAGAAAAAAAACAGTAGTTGTGTTTTAGGCAATTATTTGTGATTGTTTTTCATTTTTCATTCATTAATACTGACAAGTGTCACAGTTTGACTCTGACAGGGGTGGCTGGTGCCACACCCTTGGCTCCATCTCCATCTGAGTTCTTCAGGCAGCACCAAAAATTTTATTTTGATGTGTCTCTATAAATACAAAACATATTAGGATGCTTCCTTTATCAGTAAGCAGGATTAAACACGATTTCTTTGTGACTGACATCCAAAACACATAATCATCTTAGAGTACACCTAAGAAAAAATATTATAAAGACAGCCTACTGAATAAATCAATATTTCTATATTAATCAAAACCAGCAATGAACTAATAAATAGGGATGGTACTGAAGCCTGGTATTAAATGGGCACTAGTGCTAAATTATTAAATACTATAGTATCAATAAGCCGCAATGTTAGTTGTTCTGTTGTCAGTATTGAAAAAGAAAACAATTTCCTATTTATTACTGCTACCTAAAGTTATCTTGCACATTTTATCCCACCAAATCTGTTTCTGATTAATACATTTGCCAATGCTGCATTTTCAGTTTTCTGAATCCAGAAGACAGATTCTCTGGTTCTCTGACAACAGAGTGAGGTGTATGAGTTTCAGAGCACTCAGAGCAGGGTCAGATTTATTGATCTGAGGGTAGGAAGCAAAACACCACCCAGTAAACATATTATCAAAGAGTTAGAAAAAACCCAATTCTTTTGTTGGAAGCACAAGAAGTGAAAACAGAAGAGGACTGTATAAAATCAACAGGAAATTTAAGTGTGGTCAGAGGTGAAGTCATACAGCGCTGGGATCAGAGAGACAGAACTCACACAGGAAATCCGTTCTCTGAACCACGAGTTATGTTTTCTAGTTACATTTATCGTCTCAGGCTGAGTCCGCCCTGTACAGAGGTAACACATTTCATGCTTCGTAATCCCATTGGCCACTTGGCGTGAGCAAGTCAACCTCTGCCCACGCCTGCTTGCTGAAATGTGATCTAAACCAGGTGTGTGTGTGTGTGTGTGTGTTGTGATTTTCAGGTGACATATAATCAATGAGTACTGAACAATTGGTTGTCCAGACCCCCTGTCTGTGTAGGCTATTACAGGACAAAACAGGACCTAGTGAGTATGCTAAACAGGCCAGGTGGTCATCTCAGGTTGCAGGCCCCCTGTCTCTGCAAGATACTACATGACAAAGCAGAACTTGGAATATGCTAAGCGGGCCTAGGTGAAGATGAAAAACAGGCCAACAGGTCTTTGTTAAAATGTAAAATAGGCCATCTGATTACTTGAAGGTACAGACATCCTGTCTCCACAAAAGTTGCAGCATACAGTTCCAAAGTTTCACTCAGTAGAATATGGCAGTCATCAATACAGTTTTAATATACGTATATAAGCAAGGAAAATAAAGTTATGAAAAGTAACTAAAGGAAACTAAAGTTATGAAAAGTAACTAGAGCCTATAAGATTCAAATCTTACAAAAGTCCTGAATTAGATTGTTTACAGTGGTGTGAAAAAGTGTTTGCCCCCTTACTGATTTCTTATCTTTTTGCATGTTTGTCACACTGTAATGTTTCAGATCGTCAAACAAATTTATATATTAGTCAAAGATAACACA